CTACGATTTTCTCTTTTTTCGTTTTCGTGCCCTTTGTCCTCCTTCTCCTCCTTCCCGCCCCCTATCCTCCCCTTAAAAGGTAAAAAAACTCATTCAAAAACTCCTTTTTTATTCATACTTTCCACTAAAATCTCTCTCCCTCTCTCTCTCTTTCTCGCTTTCTCCCCTCTCTATTCCCCCCCCCTCTGTCTCCTCCTTACTCAAAACGACTGAAAACCGATGAATAATTTAATCAACAAACAAACAAGAAATAAAAGAAAAAAAAAAATTTATTTTATTTTTTTTTAATTACAATACAAACCGGAAACGGAAATTGCAATAAAACAAATTTAAAAAAGAAAAAAAAAAAACCAAATCAACCTTTTTATAAATTCATTGAAACGTAAATTCTTTTATACTTTGTTGTTGTTGTTCGTTCGACGTTTCATGAATCGGAGAAAAAATAACAAACAAACAAACAAACAACCAAACAACCACCTTTTAATGAGTATCGATTTCAAATAAATCGTACAACGACCATCAGATTTTTCCATTTGTGGAAAAACCAAAAAAAAATTTCCACACACATACAATTTTATTCTCGTAGGTTTAACTTAAACAAATAACAAAATTCTTTTAAGTATTATTATTATTATTATTATTATTTCCGGTGACCAGTACGCGTTCGGTAAATGCTTTTAAGAAAAACGTTCGTTCGTTATTCTTTCGGAGGTCGCTTGTAGCGCAATTAAAACCAAGAAAAAAAATTTATAATAATAATAATAATAATAATAATAATACACGCAACGAATTTAATTTAATTTTCTTTTTTTCTTTTTTTTTTTCTTTTCTCCAGCCTTTTAGTAAATTTTTTTTTTTTTTTTCGATGAAGACAAAGTAGATGTAAAAGAGAGAAAAAAAACACGGGAAAAGAGAAAGAGAGAGAGAGAGAGAGAAAAGGTAAGCTAAGTGATGAATCGGAAAATGTAGAAAGAAAAAAAAATAGAAAATTTCGTCATTTTAAAAAGAACGAATTTACAATAATTTAACACTGGTCGGAATAGTTCTTTTTACAAATACAAAAAAATTATTATTTTATTTTTTTTTCTTTCTTTCCCCCCCCCCCCCAATCCGCCGAATGTTTAATTTTTTCCAGGCAAAAATTAAAAAAAAAAAAGAAAAAAAAAGCAGATGATGTTAATGATGATGATGATGATGATGATGATGATGATGTAGAAAAGCCAAAATGTTTTTTTTTGTATTCTGAAATCGTTACGTAAATTATTAAATGAATAAAAAACGTAATTTTTCTTTTCTTTTTTTTTTGTTAATTAAAAAAATTAAAATGAAAAATTTCATTTTATGTTATTAAATAAATATAACGTATTCGAAAATGGGGGTTATTTTTTTAAATATTTTCTCTTTCTCGTAATAATAATAATAATAATAATAATAATAATAATAATAACAATAATGACTATATATATACGTAATTAACTTAAAATTTTATAGCGCGCGACGTTAAAAACTATTAAAAAAAAATTCTTTCGCGAAAAAACTTTTTTAAATTATATATAAATATATATTTTTCTTTGCAAACAATTATTTACTCTCTCGGGAATCCAAAAAGAGAGAAAGAGAGAGAGAGAGAGAAAATAAAAATATTTTTCCAAAGAAAACATTTTTTTTTTAAACAACAACAACAACTGAAATAAAATGGAAAAAAATTTGTTTTGATGCTTTTATGATATGAAATTACGTTTTGACTCCATCCCCTCCCTCCCAAGCTCCCCGTAAAACAAAAAAAATTTTTCTTTCCTTTCTCCCCCTTTCATAAAATTATCTTTATACCTTTCTTAACAATCGTAAATATTTTTTTTTTTTTCTTTTTGCACGAAACTTTTATTTTTTTGTTTTCGAATAAATTTTTGTTGTTGTTGTGTGCGTGTATGCGTTCGATATAAAATTTTCTACGTTTAACCATTTCCGGTTTTATTTTATTTTATTAATTAAAACCCGACATTGAATTTGTTAACCTTAAAAAATTATTGACCCTTTAAAAAAAATTTTTTTCCCCCCCAAAAAATTATAAATTATTATCGATCGTGGTATTAAAGAAAGAAAATAAGAACAATCGATAAGCTAACAATTATTTATCATTAAACCGTGAAAATTTTCTATTTCGTTTGTAATTTTACAAAACCCAAATTTATAATTTGCTCTCTCTCTCTCTCTCTCTTTATTTAAATCAACCTTTTCATTATAATATCAAAATAATTCAAGAGCGAGAGAGACAGAAAAACAGAAAGAGAGAAAAAGGAAATTTCGTTGCGAAAAACCAAGTCAGTCATAAAAAAAAAAAAAAAAAAAGTCAAACGTTTGTGTGTTTTGTAACAATTTATCTAGTGACACGTTCCGACGGTTTTTCATCAAATGCCCGCATAATCAAAACGTGGAATTAACGAATAAACATACAAACGAGAGGCATTCGTTGCGTAAAAAGTTACAAAAAAAGGAAAAAAAGGAAAAAAAAAAAAAAACTTACCATTGTGTAAATGGCACTGGCAAAGCTGCCCTTACGGACGGTTCTAAAACAGCAACAGGTTTCCAATATTGCCATATTTCTTTTTAAGTGGTAATCGACGACGACAATGATGATGATAATAATAATAATAATAAAAAACTAAAAATTTTTTTTTTTTTTTTTTTTCCTTTTCTTCTTTACCCAACGAGTCTAAAATAAAATAAAATAAAAAGTTTTTTTTTTATTCATTTTTTTTTTTTTAAAAATTTATTTTATTAAATATTTTTACTAAATAATAATAATAATAATAATAATAATAATAATAATAATAATAAAATTTAAATAAATATTTTTAAAAAAAACACGAACGGAATCGACGGGAACGCGTTCGCCGTGATTTTAAAATAAAAAAAACAAACGTGAAAACGTTCGTCCGTTCGATATAAAAGACGACGGAAAACTGACTCAAATCTCTGTTTGTGCTGACTTCGTCTTTTTTTTTTTTTCATACTATGCATCATCATCATCATTATTATTATCATCATTATCACCTTTTCTTCTTCTTCTTCTTCTTATTTTCCATCACTTTAAGAAATTTTTTTTTTTTTTTCATTCTTGAAGGGAAAGATACCAACAACGGTTTTTTTTTTTTTTTTATGGAAAGATTTAAGTAGTTTATCTACACCAATTAACCATAGCAAATTTTTTTTTTTTTGCTCTGATTAAAGTCATTTTTAAGTAATAAAAAAGTATTTGTTTGAATAATAAAACTATGGTAGAGAATTTAAAATGAGCAGAAAAAAAATTTTTTTTTCTTTTTATTAGGGAAATTAAGCTTTCTCTCTCTCTATCCCATTCTCTCTCCCCTCTCTCTCTTTTCCTCTCTTTCTCTCTCTCTAATCAATTCGAAATTTTCAAAGTGGTAACAATATATCAAACGGCGGTAAAATTAATCACACCGCACACGTTTTATTTTTACTCTATGAGTTCCATTTTTTTTTTGTAAATGGAAAAATAATTATACAAAGGAATTAATTAAAAGGAAAAAATAAAAAAATAAAAATGCGCGTCGTTGAAAAAATTTGTAAACAAATAAAATTTAAATGACAAATTTAAATAGAAATATACATATATATGTGCGTGAGTGCGTGAAAAAATGCGTATGTAAATAATGGGTCGTCCGTGGCATCCTTTTGTTTATTGTGCCGTGAGACCGTGTTGTTGTTGCTGTTACATAGACTCGGAAGTAACATGTTTCATTATCGGAGTTTACTGTCTCCTCTTCCTCGGATTTTCCGGACTTACCTTTTTAGCAACCGGTCACTGGACCGTTTTTTCCCTATCAATTTTAAACACTCTTTTACACATATTCGCGGGTTCCGCTCTTATATTAGGCACACTTTGGGGCAACTACAATTTGAAAATTTGCTTTTGTTGGTTGTTGACCCTTGCCATTTTTGTCTCTTTGGCAAATTTTATCGCAATTATAATTGAATACGAGACAACTGAGATTTCTCCAGTGGATTTCGACTTAGATAATAGATCCGGTAGAATAATATATGTTATGATAGCTACGTTAGTTACTATTGGGAGTGATGTTTACTCGATTATGCTTGCTATTGGAAATATTGGTGATGATGAACCTGCAGTCTATTAATATGATTTTTTTTTTTTTAATAAAAAATAAGTGATCGCAGTTTAATTACAAATGGATATCTTAAACTGTACTTAGATAAATAGTGACTTGATAATGTTATTCAAGTAAAATTTTTTATTATTTTTCTAGTGAAACAAGCAAACAAACAAACAAACAAACAAACAAAATAATTGTTAACAATTACAGTATTAATAATAATATATGTACATAGCTTATACGTAATTAAAAAAATTATAATTTCAAATCGTTTAACGTCATTTATAATTCTGACGTCATCATACCTTAAATATAATTATTATTATTATTATTATAAGTAAAAAAAAAAAAAATTATCATAATGTGCTTATTATTATCATCATTATTATTATTATTATTAAAATAAATGGATTTGCTATGATTAATTAAAATTTTGCTGAAAATTAATTAATTTAATTTCGGTTTTTTTTTTTTTTTTTAATTAAAAAAAAATGCTCGACATTATTATTATTATTTTTTAAAGTGTCAATAGAAAAAGAGTGTATATCATTCAAAAATTTCACATAATTTAATTTTTTTTTTTACAAAATTGATGAACGAAAAAAAAAAAAAAAATTGCTTTTAATGGAAAATTTTGGGTAAATGAAATTAAGGTCGTGATGGAACAAAATGTCAGAAGAAAATATAATATGAAATTTTGGGAAAATGATGAGACTCCTCGAAGGGAATTCGATATATCGAACGGATTTATCGAAAAAGATTGATTGAAAAATGACGGTTACATTTTTTTTTCTCTCACACACGGGAACATTCGAATTCAATGGTGCATTTCTAAAGAAGAATATTCTTTGATAAAAGCAGACGACATTTATATTTGAAAAATTGAACGATTATAAATATTCCAAATTTAATCATAGTATAATCATCATCATCATCATTATGAAATTTTAATGAGATATCATTTCGCTTCTGATAAAAGCGAATAGCAAGCAGACGAAACTTAAATTAAAAAAAAAAAAAAAAAAAAAAGAAAAATTTCATCTGAGAATTGAACCGAGTGAACACGTTTACCTTAGGCCCATATTACATTAATCACAAGTTATACACATTTTTTTTTTTTTAATTCTCTCTCTCTCTCTCTCTCTCTATCTATCTTTCTCCCTTAATTAGCGAATTAATTATTCTCCAGTTAATTAAAATAATTAATTAGGTTTTTTTTTTTTTTAATATATTTTTCACCGCATTAAATTTATTATTTTTATACTAATAATTATTATTTTCTTTTAAAATATGCGTCGACTACAAAACAAAAAAAAAAAAAAATAATAAAAACGAAAGAGAGAGAAAGAAAGAAGAGAGAAAGAGAGAAAGAGAGAGAGAGAGAGAGAGAAGAAGAAAGAAAGAAAGAGAGAGAGAGAGAAAATTTGGCAAAAGTTTTAATGTTAAACAAAAAAAAAATTTTTTTTTTGGCACATATCATCGTTGCGTTTAACGCGTTTCGTGAGAATTCAAAGGAAAAAAAAAGAATTGGGTAAAAATTTTCAAAGGAAAATTTTTTTTTTTTTTTTATGTTAAGGTCATGGTTGGAAGGAACGAGGAGAGTGAAAAAAAAGAAAAAAAAAATTTTTTTTTTTTTTCTTTTTATTCGAAGATGTCGGATTTAAGTAATGAAGAAAATGAAATTTTGTTATTACATACAAAAGGTACGTCATTACGTCATTATTATTTTTTTAATTGTATTTTTACATTGCCCCCCCCCCCTATCTTTCTCTCTCTCTCCCTACCTTTATCCTCTTCTCATTTCCACTCTTTCTCTCTCTCTCTCTCTCTCTATCAATTTTTTTCTTACTTTTAATTTGTTTTATTATTACTTTAAAGTCGAGCAATTAATATTAAAAAAAAACTCCTGGAAATTAAGTTTATTATTATTATTATTATTATTATTATTATTATTTCATGTAAATAATTATTATTTTATTTTATTCCATTTGTTTATTTTAATTAGATTTTTTTCTTTTTTTTATCTTTTCCCTGACCTATTTTTAATAACAATTTAAATTACTTATTTATTACAAAAGAAAATCCGAGACGAAGAATTTTTCATTTAATGATAACGTTATCAGTAGCAACGTAATAATACATTTTTAATAACATAATCAATTAATAAATGGAGGAATCACAAATATTTTCGTTTTGTAATAAAAAAAAAAAAAAATGAATGAAATTTTTCTTTTTCTTTTCCAGGACAATAAAATTCCTTCAGAACGGAAATTTCATTCAAAAAAAAAAAAAAAAAATTTATTACTAAAAAAATTTTTCACATTAACTGACCTCCTGACCTTCCTTCTTTAATTTCTTTTTTTTTCCCTCGCCATTGAATTTTTTTTTTTTTTTAATATTATTTTTCTAATGAAATTTTCCACGCACAAAAAAAAAAAAGAAAAAGTTTTCATTCATTTAAAATAAATAATATTAACAACAATAACAATAACAACAAATTTTTTTCCCACTCCCCTCCCTCTATCCCCCTTTTGGGGGGGAAGAAAAACCTTTTGTTCTTTTTCAAGGAAACAATTTTTTTTTTAAACAAGAATCCAGTGGATTCGATGTAATGAAAATGTTTTTTTTTTTTAAAAAAAAAAAAAAAACCTCACGCATTAAAATTTTTCTGGATTATCTTTTTGACAGGAAACTGGAATGAGATACTCGATAAATTTGACAGAAATAAATTTTTACCATGGATTTGGCCGAGTTTAGAAAATTTATTTTTTATACAAAAATATGTTCGAGATCAAGGATCTGATTCGCTTATTAGCGTCGGTTGTGGCTCTGGATTATTTGAATGGCTTTTAATAATGGCAACTGGTACGTTTTTTAATCTCTTATATTCTTTCTCTCTCTCTCTTTATTTCTCTATACTTACATTCTCTTTCTCTCTTTTTCACTTTCTTCTCCTTTATTCACCTCTCATACTATCTTTTTATCTTGCTTTTTCTCTCTCTCTCTCTGTCTATCTCATTCTCTCTATGTCTTGCTTACATTTTTCTCCCTTTCTCTCTCTTTATTTCACTTACATTTTCTTTCTTTCTCTTTCTCTCTCTCTCTCTTCTTCACTTTCTTCTCCTTTATTCAGCTCTCATACTCTATTTCTATCTTGCTTACTCTCTCTCTTTTTCTCTATCTTCTCTATCCTTCTCTTGCTTACATTTTTCCCCATTCTTCTTACTTTTTCTCTCTTCCTCTCTCTCTTCCTCACTTTTTCATTTTCTTATCCTATATTCAGCTCTCAAACTCTCTTTCTATCTTTCTATCTTTCTTTCTTTCTCTCTCTCTCTCTCTCTCTCTCTCTCTCTCTCTCTCTCTCTCTATCTCACTTACATTCTCTTTCTCTCTCTTTCTCTCTCTTCTTACCCTTCTTTTCCTTTATTCAGCTCTCAAACTCTTTTTCTATCTTGCTTTCCCTTTCTCTCTCTCTTTTTCTTTATGTCTTGCTTACATTTTTCCCTGTTTCTCTCTTACTTTTTCCCCTGTCTCTTTCTCTCTCTTTATTTTACTTACATTCTCTTTCTTTCTCTCTACATCCTGCTTACTATTTTTCTCTTACTTTTTCTCTCTATCTCACTTTCATTCTCTTTCTCTCTCTCTTCTTCACTATCTTCTTCTTTAATCAGCTCTCATTCTCTTTTTCTATCTTCCTTTCTCTCTCTGCCTTGCTTACATTTTTCTGTTTCTTTTACTTTTCTCTCTCTCTATTTCATTTACATTCCCTTTCTCTCTCTCTCTCTATCAACACTTATATTCTCTTTCTCTCTCTCTCAATCAACACTTACATTCTCTATCTGACTTACATTCTCATTCTCTTTCTCTCCCTCTCTCTCTCTCTCTCTCTCTCTCTACCACTTAGTTAGTTTTAACTAAAAAAAAAAAAAAAATGCCATATATATTATTAATAAACTAATCAGGATTTTACAGGATTAAATGTAGTTGGTATAGAACTTGATGGAACATGTTGGACTACAAAATACTTTTCTGGAAGTTTCATACCACTTCATCTAGTTAGTGAAAATTCAAAAGGATATTTTCCTATCAAAACTGATAATTCCACTTTATTATTTTGTTATTTCAACAATTTGAATGCTTTTTTAAACTACATGCATAATTTCAATGGAAATTCTTTAATAAGTAAGTTTGTAATTAATTATTTCTTACTTTTGGTATGTTATATCATTATTATCATTAAGGAAACTTTTATGTTCAATTATCAAATGAATGCTTCTTAACAAAAGTTGTAGGAAACACATAATGAAAACTTATGTTAAACATCAATCACAATCAATTTAACTTAAGTTTATTGAATGATTTTTAATCCATGCATTCTTTTTACTATTATTGTAAACTATTGTATTGTAAACTTTTATTTATAGGTAATTATAAGTAATAACCAAAAACTGTTAAGTTTACCATTATTTCTTTTTGACAAAACAACATATTACTATTATTATTTTACAAGTACATACCTGACATTTTGAAAATTAACTTGAGACATCAAAAATGATTGCATCATCTTTGATATGAATGACCAATCTTTGTAAAATAAACACTTATATCATATTTCACTGTAACTAAATAAATAAAAAACTTTTTTAAAACTTATCCAAGTCACTGGATTTTAAACTTCCCGATAAGAAACGATAAAGTATTCATAAATTTCTTGAAAAAAAAAAAAAGTTTGCACAATCACAAAAATTCTTTTTTCCGTTAAAGACGCCATTACGACACCAGCGCCAAAGTGACCAATACAGGTATTAATTAATATAAATTCAAAAATGGCGTCATCAATTCCATTACTCATTATACTGTAATGGTTTCCGAGGAGGAGGAGTAAAACAAAAATGGCCGTCACATTTGAAAACAAAACAATTATTATTATTTCTCATTATACTGTAATGGTTTCCGAGAAGGAGGAGTAAAACAATAATGGCCGCGACATTTGAAAACAAAACAATTATTATTATTTCTCATTATACTGTAATGGTTTCCGAGAAGGAGGAGTAAAACAAAAATGGCCGTCACATTTGAAAAAAAAAAAACAATTAGGATTATTATTATTATACTGCAATGGTTTCCGAGGAGGAGGAGAAAAACAATAATGGCCGCGACATTTGAAAAAAAAAAAAAAAAACAATTAATTAGTACTATTTCTCATTATACTGCAATGGTTTCCGAGGAGGAGGAGTAAAACAAAAATGGCCTCCACATTTGAAAAAAAAACACAATTAGTATTATTATTATTATTATTATAATAACCAATTTAAAATTTAATTTAACGTAATTAAAGTTACGTTCGTTGCATATAATCAAAAAACTTTTTTAATCCGCTGAAATAAAAAAAAAGAAAAGTAAATTAAGTCTAGACGATTCGATAATTTAATCATTTATAACAAAGATTAATAATAATAATAATAATAATAATAATAAATGAATAAAACGTAATCAAATCATTCAAAAACAGAGACCGCTTCTTTGCAAATTATATTTATTATTATTATTAAAATTAAAATTTATCTTCTTGTTTTTTTATTTTTTTATTTTCTTTCAGTTATCGGACCTGGACCTGATCGTGGAACTTATACGAATCCTCAACCCTTTCATTTACCCGATAAAATCAATAATGATTGGTTATTGATCGATCATCAAGAATTAAAATCTTTAAAGGATTTCATTGCTGTCTACGTTAGAATAAAACAATAATAATAATAATAATAATAATAATAAATAATTAATATTAATAAATAATATCAATTTATTTATTTTTTTTAAAAATATATATATGTATATACATAGATCCTTTTTTTTTATCTATTCATTAATTCTCACAATTCAATCATGGCGACGACGATGACGACAATAATAATAATAATAATAATAAATCAAATTAAAAATAAATAAATTAATCAAGGCAGCAATAATTTCCTTTTTTTTAAAAAAAAAAAAAGTTTTTTTCATTGCCTTCGCCACCATGTTTTTTTCTAAAATGCGAATGAATGATTGAATGAATGAATGAATGATCATCGTCGTTTCATTCAATAGTAATAATAATAATAATAATTAAAAATTGATAAATTATTTGATTCGTGATGTAAATAATAAATTTAAAAAAAAAAAAAACAAAATGGCGGAGATTCGAAAGCAATTTCTGCCCCGCGAAAAAACAATTATTAACGTTTATATCGAAATCGATCATCGATAATCGATAATCGATCAAACGATTTTACAATACATTTAAGTGATGTTAAAATAATGATAATAATAACAATCAATCAGGTACGATTTTTCGGAATTTTTTTCTCCAATTTTTTTTTTTTTTTTTAAAGAACATTAAAAACATTCATCGAATGGAGAAAAATAATAATAATAATAATAATGATGATGATAAATATAAACATTTCTTTTCGAAACGATTCGATTTTTACCTTGTTCGGCCCGTTGAAAAAAACAAAAAAAATGGCGTTTCGTATTTATTTATTCAATCATTACCCTTTTTTTTTTTTTGTCGATCCATCATCAAGTAATTTCAGACGTTTTGAATTTAAGCTCTTGGGATTCGTCAAGATCCCCGGCGAGTCTTTCAACGTTGTAATAATCACCTTGCTGAAAAAATCAAAAAAAACTTTATCGTGAAATCCCCAGGTACAAAATCGTAAAAAAAAAAAAAAGAAAAAAATTTTTTTTTTGTCGCACCTCCAAAAGGGTGTGAGCTCCGCTTAGATCAACGATCGTTTCCACAACCCTTTCCGAAATAATTGGTCCCACTAAATCCAAACGATTGTTTTCGTTGTTGTAATAATCCATGTTCGTTTGTACTTCCTGCCTGGAATTCATACACCTCGCGGATTTTCTCATTTCCTGACCGTTAAAATTTTCATGTTCCGACGTGTGCGAGAGATAAGATCCCCGATTTAAAGTTTGAAAATTGCACTGGCTACAACTGAATATAACGTCTGCTTCCAAACCTGTAAAAACAAAATCAATCCTCTATTCTTTTCCTAACCTACGATGTTTTTTTTTTTTTTTAGGCATATCCTACCGGGATGTTTTGTTTTTATGTGAACTTTATAAGTGGAAGCCTGTATGCACGTGTAGGTACAATGATTACATTTATAACTCCTGACACCGCTATGTTTCATTTTGTGACGTCTGAGAGCATTGTGATCGGCCGTTTTATATTCGCATTTTTCACATTGATAAGGTTTCTCACCTTGCAGGAGGAAAAAAAAAAAAAAGTTTTAATACGGACAAACCCGACAGATTCTCCATCTTTTTAGTAAATATTTCACCTGTGTGCCTTCTCATGTGTACGACCAAAGAATGTTTGACGGCCGATGCGTAGCCACACATGTAACACAAATAAGGTTTTTTTTTCTTATGAGTGTTGTTAATGTGAAGTTCCAATTGTCTTTTATCCGCCACTGTTCTACCGCATATTTCGCAATGACAAACCGACATTCTAACCATTTTCGCTTTGTGTATGTTCTGCAAGAGAGAGAAAAAAAAAATTTTCACGAGGTGATAAAGAAAAATTTTTTTTTTTTACTCGTTCGAAAGCCAATGAAAACAATATTACTTTATGATTTCTCATTTGTTTAACCGTTTTAAATCCTTTCCCGCAAATATCGCATAAAAACGGTCGAGCTTTCCCGTGGATTCCTCGATGTATGTTTGTCAATCTGCTATAACTCGGCGTTTTGTACGGACATTGATCGCATTTATACAATTCCATATCGATTTTGTGTGCTTGCCAAAGGTGACTGCTTAACGATACCCATGTCGAACAATCCTTACAACATTCGGGACAATTGTACAATGTTCCTTCGTGACACCTTCGATGATATTGAATATTTTTTTCAGATTGCAATCGAACTTTACAGCCGTTGATATCACATCTGAAGACAAATAATAACTCTTAATGTTTTACTCACACGTGACAGATTTTAAATAAAGAAATATGTCCACTTCTCTCTCTCTCTCTCTCTCTCTCTCTCTCACCTGTATCCCACCCCTAATTTTTTCAATTTTTTTTTCTCTTCTTGATCTTCCGTATTTGGTGGTAGTACGCATTGATTTTGTCCAGGATCCAATTGAGGTGGCGGAGGTTCGTTTTCGTGATAAGTTGAAAAATCTTCGATGTTAATATCGTGACTTAAAATTCCAGAACTTGATTTTTCCAAATTGTTTTCATCTAAATTAATAACCGGAATGTCTTGGATGTGGGATTGAAGGTAATTATCATTTGATAATATTATGTTTTCATTATCTTCATAATGGTGAGATTCGTTTGCCTTGTACGCACCGTTCTACAAATGCAATTTGTGCAAATTTTAACGGTTTTTAAATGTTGATTCATTGAAAAACTAAACTGCCAAAACCATACCTCTCTGCTATCGAAAACATTGGCCATTCCAATATATCCATGATTTTGATGTTCAATCATTAAATGAGATTGATCTAAAAGTGGATTCGAAGCTGAATGAGCTGGAGGTGGTTGAATGGACGGAAGTTGCTCACTAACAGGAGCTGTAAAGCTGACAAATAAATTATTATTATTATTGTAAATAACAAACATTTTTATATTACAAAAAAAAAATATCATTAATAATTTATTATACTAACTTGAATGTATTTTCCAAAAGTGCTGATCCATTATGATTTAAAGTCGGAGGTAAATTGCAATCACCTTTGTTATTGATATCATCCAAATATGATTCTAACATTGTTTGCCTTTTCCCATTTACACACCGTTCTATTTCTCTACCATCAGGCACATGCTTATCAGGAGGTATGGCATTAAAGGTTTTTTCAATTTCACTCCTGTTCTCGACATTAATAGGCATATCTAAATCGGGAATCGAATTTGAATTAAATAAATTTTCTTTCATGGTGTTAAATTCATTCGATTGAAATATACAAGATGATTTTTCTCCCTCTACTTCAAATCTCACTTCTTGAACACTCTGTAAAATTGTTTTAACTTCTTTTGAAAGCATTTTGTGATCGTGAACTAAATGAACTCTCAATGGAGTCAATGAAAAAAAAATATTTTTACAACCTGGACAATGAAAAACTTCATTATTACTATAACACTTTTGTTTTTTTTGAAAATGATAATTTAAAAAATCTTTACTTAATGTTATAAATGAACAATTGTAACACTTGTAACACTTTGTTTTAGACATAAAATTTTTCATGTTTTTCAAATCGTAATCATTATCGATTGTTGTTTCATAACTGTATGATTGCACATAATCAGGATCTTGTATTCTTTTATCACTGTAATCTAAATAATCCTGCATTTTTTGCTTTTCATCATTGAGTCCTTGCTGTTGTTGATCATCGATTTTAACAATCAATATCGGATTAACTTGAGGATTAATTAATTTGGGAACAGGGGTTGGAATCACTGATAATTTTTGATCATTCGATGATGGATATGGAGCTATGGGTTTGTAATTTTTTTTTATCAAATATGCTTTTTCCTTTGATGATTTGTTTGAGTATTTTTTATTTTTACCATCACCATTTTTTTCTTTACACTGTTTATTTAAAAAAACTTCACTCGTGTTTAAATCGTTGTTTGAAAAGTTCACAGTTGACATGTTAACACAATTTTTATAATTTGTTTTATCTTTTTTTTTTATTTTTTTATAATCATATTTATTTAAATCATTTTTTTTTCCTTTGAATGCACTGCAAGAGAAATTATCTATTTTATCATTTTCAAACATATCATCAGGTACATATTTTTGCAAGTTCCAATCCTTTTTGAATTCTCCATCGATATTTTCACTTTTATGTAATTTGTTTTCTTCATCTAAATCTCTTATATCCAGATGAATTCCTTCTGAAAAATTTTGTTCTATGGTATTGTTGTAATCGGAAGGTTTATTAACTAAATCTAACATGTTTAAATTTCTCGAAGTGCTCGTATGAGAATCTGATTCAGGTTGATCTAATATAATTGGCATTTTTTCACTTCCCAAATTGAATGGAGTCTTCATTTTTAAACAAAAATTTTATTTTTTATTTCTAAAACTTATCTACAATTATAGAAATTTATGTACAATAACATTAATTAACTATTTTTTTTCCAAAAAATAATTAATAATCATCGAAAACGAAAACGAACCATTTTACCAAAAAAAAAAAAAGCGAATCCTCTTTAACATAAAAACAATCGTGAAATAAATAATAACGATAAAAATTATGATGCGAAAATTAAAATTTACAAAATATTTTATTAACTGATAAAATTATACTGAAAAAAATATTATATACGATAGAAAAACTTATAATTTTTTATTTTTTTATTTACGTTACTCGACTTTTGATCAGCCATTTTGAAAAATAATCAAACCTGGTGTTCGTTTCGCGCATTATTCGAGACTCGAACGATATATCGCGAGATGGTAAAAAAACGTAAACAATAAACGAAAGAAAATTTTGTTTTGTAAAGTAAACTTATACTTAAATTTCTTTTTTTTACGAAAAAAAAAAAATAAGAAAAATAAAATATTAAATTTATAAAAAGAAAAAAAAAAAATTTTTTAAATACGATTAATCGAATTATATATATAACTCGTAAAACGATAAAGAAAAACTTGGATAGATTTTTATAGTAAGTGCTAATAAAAATTGACAACTTTAACAAAGTTTTTTAACTTTTATTTATTTATTTATCGACTTACCTATATTAATCATAATTTTCATTTGTGACGGTTAAAAATGACGTTGTTGATTTTTGATTTATCGATGTGCCACCGGTCGATCCGTTAGAAACTCTCGAACCGTTATTTGTATATATACCGCTGTTGACGACCGTCGTGGTTGTAACTTCGCTCGCACAAGATTCACGTTTTTTGTAAGGCGTTATCGTAGGTTGACTGTACAATCTATCAATTAAATAAAATGAATATTTCTTCCCTATCTCTCTCTCTCTCTTTCTATCTCTCTCTTTCTCTCTTTAGCGATTGTACCAAAACCAACCAACCAACCACCCAAGACAGACATGATAATAATTTTTATTATATTTTTTATAATGTCCGTTTAATTTCACTATTAAATAATAGGCCTATTTTTTTTCCTTTTTAATTATCATTATTATTATTATTATTATTATTATTATTATTATTATTATTATTATGTACCATTTATATCTCCGTACATGACTTGTTTTGATTGTTTTCGTGTCCTCACCTCATGCTTTCGGTTCTAGATCTCGGTGACCAATCTCTGCTGTAATTATATCTTTTATCACCCAGCGTTCTTATCGTACGCCATGATTCCATTCTGTGTCTCATAGTGTTTTGTACTTCGCTGTTTAAAAAACAGTAGAAAAGAGCCACGAGAAACCCCTTTAAACAAAAAAAAATTTCATATATATCATCATCATCATCATCATCATTTAAATTTTTTTTTTTTAAATAAGATTCGTTTACACGTGAAATGATAAACGACAACAACAACAACCGAAGCAGAAAAAATAATTTTTTTTTTTTTAAATAAAAGTTTCATTTTAAATCGTTTCTAGCGAAAACGGAAATTATTATTATTATTATTATTATTATGATAAAAACGTCGAAAAACAATTTTAATTTAATTTTTAATGTAATTTTTTTTGTTGTTGTTGTTTCCTCGTTTGTTTGTTGTTTGTTTAGTTATTAATTTTCCTTTTTATAACACAAAAGAGAGAGAGAGAGGGAAGAAAATTGTTTATTAAAAAGTGTTTGTGACACTTTAATAAAAAAAAAAAAAGAAGCCATCTTGGTTTTCTCGGTTAATAAAATATTTTTTGTTAATTCGACAATAACGTTTTTTAATATCCTGTTTGTCGTAAAAGAAAAAAAAAAATTTTTCGTTTACCGGAAATCGATTTGATTTTAAAAGAGCGGTTGAAATAATAAAAAAAAATTAAAATTTTAAATAACCGGTACGTTTTTTTTTAATAAACAATAACGGTTATCGAGAGTGTACGAAAAAAACATGGCGGACGTAAATTCGAAATAACAATCGAGAATCACGAAAAAAAAAAAAAACGGAATCGTAAATCAAAACAAAAACACTTGAAAAAACTGAAACAAAAACTTCTGGAATGTTCTTATTCGATTTACAATAAAATCTAAACAACAACAATTCAAACTTTTTTTTTAAAACAAACAAAGACAAACAAACAAAAATCGTTTGTGATAATTGACAATAACAAAAAAAAAATTTTCTTCTTTGATTTTGTTGTTTTTATCAATAAAAAATAAACCTTATCACAAAGGGGTCGATAATATCCGGTTTTTATTTTCCGACAACCGGAAAAGCTAAAAACAAAAAAATAAAATCGGAAAAAAAGGGATTACGAGAGTTTTCCCCGAAAATTTTCCGAAAAAAAAATTTTTTTTTTTTTTGTATGGCATCGTAACATTTAAATTACACGAGTTTGCGGTTATGCGGTAACTATGACGTCAAATACAATGACGTCATACAAACACACACACACATTTAAAAATTAAAATTTTGTTTACTTTTTTCAAATCCGACATTAATATTATTATTATTATTATTATTATTCTTTTGTTTTATACCCGCTTAATATTTATTTTTAAAAAAAAATTTAAAGTTTTTCCGGAAATACGTCATCGCGGAAAATTTATTTACGTGATGGAAAAAAAAAAAATTCGGTGGAAGATGTTAAATGAGTTAATTTTTTTTTCCCATGGTTTTAATTACCTGAAAAGATAGCATGAATGCTCTCATGTTGTAAAAAACTTGTGCCACGATTCCTTCCGTTGGTGACACGATTGTTAATATGTAGGTTATACCCAGTAGCGGTATGAGTACCAAAAGTGCTTTTGTAGCTTTTCTATACTGTTGAGTTTCCGCATTGTTTGCCGATCTTAATTTTGTTATCAATACCTTAAAACAAACAAAAATGGCTCATAAATTTTATTTCTTTTAAAACAAACAAACAGACAAACAAACAAATGAAAAAAAAAAAAAGGTCAAAATTAGGTTACCCAAATTTTTGTTTTTTTTTTTTCTCCCCTCACCTCACATCCTTCATCTTTCTAATTTTCCCCACTTTTATTACTTCAACGATTCTCTCAGCTTCCCCCCTTTCATCCCCCCATCCAATCCTCATCTCTCTTTTATTACCTCAATGATTTTCCCACGCATTTTTTTCTTTTATCGATATCGCGTGATGACGTTTGTTTCCTTTCCTTATCAGAAAATAATTTTTTCTTTTTTTTTTTTTTTTTTTTTGAAAAATTACCCTTGAGTACGTACTTGAAAATAATTACACGAATTCATCATTATTATCATCATTATTATTATTATTAGTTTTTATTACTTTTCGTACGGTAATTTTTTTTTTAAACATTTTTTTTATTACTTTTTCTTTTTCTTTTTTAATAAGTTTTCATTAATGAATTTTTAAATATTTCTTGGTTAATTACGTTTTTATTACTTTTAATAATAATTACGTAATAAATATATTAATTTCTTTTTTTAAAGTTCGCCATTTTGTTATCGAAAAGATTAAATAATAATGATAATAATAATAATAATAATTACGTTAAGTTTTTAAAAAAATAGAAAAAAAAACAAAAAAAATTATTTTACGTGTCTGGAAATATATAAAACGTGTCAGAATGAATGAAAAAATGAATGAATGGATGAATGAATGGATGGATGAATGGATGAATGAATGAATGAATGAATGAATGAATGAGTGCACGAACGAATCGACGTTTAAAATAAATCAATAAAAATAAATACATAAATAAAATTAAAACATCAACGAGGAAGTGAAGAAAAAAAAAAAAAAGAAAATTTTCCAGACATTTTTTTTTTTTATTATTATTTTTTTTTTTTGCTTTCTCCAGGTTTTTTTTTCTCTCTCTCTCTCCAGTTTATTTTTTCTCCAAAATAAAAAATAAAACAATATATATTAAATTTCCAGTTTTCAATTACACTGACTGATTGAATCAATTAAATGCATTATTTTTTCTGTGTTTTTACCTTAAAAATTTACCGACGGATTAATTTTCATCGAAAATATTTTTTTTTCAATTAACGTGGCAGAAGAAATTTAATATCATCATGATTTTTTTTTTTTTTGGGACATTTTTTTACAGATTTAATAACTTATATATATGAGTTTGAAAAGTAAATTTTTTGGCGGAAAACAAAGAAAAAAAAATTTAAAGAAACTTACCCACATTATCATGACTAAAAAAACAGAATTTAATGCCATGACGGTTAAAACGGGAATTTTAAATATCCAATCGTGTATCGTTCCATTCATCCAGTGACAATGTGATAAAACTCCAGAAAATTCCGTGTTTGCCTGTAAGGAAATTTTATAGTTATCATTATTATTATTATAATGAAATTAATGACGTTGGCGACGACGACGACGAAATATTCTAAAATAATTATATTTCATTTTTTTTTTTTTTGTTATTTTTACTTTCATGTTTCAATTTTCTCATCGTTTTTCCCATTTTTTTTTTTTTTTCATTTTTCCCATTTCCGATTTTCTTTTTTTTTCCTCTCTCCTCTCTTCCTCTCTCTACAAAATGATGTTTTATATATATATATATATATATATATATTATTATATTTCCAGGTAATAAATCATTCGTTCGCATATCAATAACAAACAAAAAAAAAATAATATATATATTTTTCTTTATTATTATTATTATAAATGTAATAAAATCGTAATAAATTTCCTCCTCCTTTTCTTTTTCTCTACTTCCTTCCCTCTCTCCCTCCCGCCCCCGCAATCCAATCCTTTTTTTTTTTTTAATTTGTCCGTTTTTGTATTTTTTTTTTTTTTTTTTTTTGAAAATCGAAACGCAATGAAAATACAAAAATTTGAATTTCCCGCTCTTTTCTCTTTTAAATCGGTTTAAAAAAATTTTTTTTTTTCGAATATTTTCAATTTACTTTCGCAACAAAAAAAATTTTAAATGATAATAATAATATTAATATTAATAATAATTCAATTCCTTTTTTTTCAATTTAATTATTAAAAGTTATTATTATTATTTAATTTGATTTGTTTTACGGCTTAATAATATTAATAATAATATTGGAATGTTTGTTAGAAACACGAATATTCAGACTGGAATTTCTTACTGGAGTATTTGTCATGAATATGGAAGGACCGGTTACGACAGGGGGGGTTTGTGCACGGTTCTGAACAATCAACAGAGAACTGTTCTAACAAACCGGATATCATCCCGAGGCAAATTATGTAACCAAACAGAACCGAGGTGAAAAAAACGGTAAACAACCCGTGAAGGAAACAGGAAGGAAAAGGGAAGAGAATGAAAACGGAAACGATTTTATTCATCGTGGAAGTTACGTCACATTCTTGAAAACATTCATATAACCGTCATCGATTTTCATTAAAAAATCGATGGATAAAGAAGACACCCGGAATTTTGAAAGAAAATCATTAAAATGTCAATAGAATTTGTTCTCATTAAAAAATAATAATAATAATAATAATTAACTCACCGTTTCTTCGTTCATTGGTGCCACGGCTTTAACGATTCCCCAAATAATAATTAATATCAATGGAATCCCTAAAAAAAAAAAAACGTCACAAAAAATTACGTCTTTAGAAATTTTTTTTTTTTACGTCGGTGATTTTAACAATCATTTAATAATAATGATAATAATAATAGTAATAATTAAATTTATTTTTACTTAAAAAAAAAGGAAAAAAAAAAAATTTAACGTTGTCACGATTTATAACGATGATGATTAATTCCGATTTTTCCACTTTTCTCCACTTTTTTCCCCCTTTTTTTATCTTTCAAATCTGACGAAAACAATTATTATTATTATTATTATTAATTTCGTAAGTTAAACATAATTGAAATCACGTCAGTAAACAAATAAATAAATAAATAAATTGAAAAAATAATTATTTGAATTATTTATTTTTCCGTGTTGATTTTTTTTTTTTTAATAATTCAAATCAACCGGAAGTTAATTGTATTAAAGTTAAAACGGATGAAATTTAGTTTTTAAAAAAAAAAATGGCGGGAATTATACTCACCCCAACCGATAAACACATAAACTCCGGTTCTTATGTTTGTTCTATTGAATGTTTCAACAACGAGCATGTAAAGATAAAGACCTTCGACAAACATCCAAAAAAATGTTGTGACGTGGAAGTAGTGAAGTACCAAGGGTAACATCATGCACAACGTCATATCCTGTTGTATTGAATTCTGTTTTTTTTCGCATCAATTTTTTCATGAAAAAAAAAAAAAAAAAAAATTTTAATCCCGGTTTAAAATTTAACGATCGATTTTTAACGTGTCGTTAAATATTTGTAAAAACAAAAAAAAATTTAGTTTAGCTTGCTAAATCCACGTTTTTAATTTATATTTTTTATTCTTTTATTTATTCCCAAAAGTCACCGAGTTGAGAGTCGTGGGTTCAAATCCTAGGAGTGGAAGCATTATTTTAACAAAAACAGACCTGTACATAAGGGGATAAGTGAACTAGCACTCTCCCGATAGAAAATGTGGAGTTGCGACGTAAAAGGAGGACAGATGAAGGATCAGCGGGATTTGGGACCCCGGTCATCTATCTATCTCTCTCCGGAAGAGGCAGGAACGATGGTAACAAATCGGGATTGTCTCTCGAAGAGTAAAAAGAGGAAGTACCGGGATCTTCCTCAGGTGGGATTCCCATTTTCACGAGTGTGTGGACCTGATGGTTCTGGCTCAGGAGGCATTTCAGGCTGAAATGCAGATTAAAACTCCCGCGGACGCCCCTCCCTCCGGGAAACCCGCCCAGGAATTTCACTTGGTTAGTGTCTTCCGCTGAGTCCCACATTCTCCCTCCTACCGGCTCGGGAAATTTGGCATTTTTTCTGGATTAACAAAAAAAAAAAAAAAACAAGAAAAGGGCGTAAAATTTTTTTCTTATTTATTATTTCCCTCATTTTATTTATTTATTAATTTTAACTTAAAATTAACTCGATCGACTTGTTGCTTTTTCCTGTATCGTCTTGTTGTCATGTAAATGAATGCTAGAAAGGAAGTAAGGGAGGAAATAACCGGAAATGGAGGAAATAAAACCGTTTAAAAAAATACAATTTTTAACGAATTTAAAAATTAAGTTAAAAAAAATTTCATCATTTCCGGTTTCTTAATAATATTAAAAAAAAACATTAATAATGATAATATTTTAAAACGGTTTTCAATTAACTTCGTTTTTATTTTTATTTATTTTTTTTCCTCTTTTATTTTAACGAATTAATTTAATAAAAAAAATCGAATTAATTACGATTAAAATTTAATAAAAATAAATAAATAAATAAATAAAAGAATATTTTATTAAAATAAAAATAAATAAATAAATAAATGAATAAATAAAAGTCGGTTGATAATAAATCTTTTTACTTTGAAAAAAAAAAGACAAAAAGTTTCAAAAAGTAGATTTTTAATAAGAATTCTTTCTTCAATACCCAGGGAAAAGTTTTTTTTTTTTTTTTTTTTTTGTTAAAAAGTTATTTATTGAAAAAAATAATAATAATGATAATAGTGATGACGACGGCGATGATAATAATAATAATCATTTAAAATGATATTTTACGAGATTTTTTTTATTTTTTTATTTTTTTGTTTTTATTGTTTGATCGCTTGCTCTTTTACAACGTACAAAGTGTGAAAATTATCATTCGTCGAAATTTCTAGAAAATTTATATCGTCATTTTTTTTTTTTATGAAAATTTTTATAAACAAACAAAGATAAAAAAAACAAAAAACAAAAAAATTATTTCCAATCAATCAAACAAAAAAAATCGGGTAGGAAAATATAATAAATAATAAATGAATGAATGAATAGATAAAAAAAATTACGCGTGACGTCACAATAACAATGTGAATTTTTTTTTTTTTCCTTCTTCTTATTCTGCTTTCCTTCTGCCTTTCATTCATCAAACAAATATAAAAAATAAACAAATATAAAAAAAAAAATGAAGTTTAACACAAAAAAATATACACACACTCGAAACGTTATCAATGACGACAGACGCGTTTTGTATTCACAAAGAAAGGAAAAAAAAAAACGTGGAACTAGAAAAAGGCAAAAAAAAAAAAAAAAGTAAAAAAATGAAATGAAAAAAAATTTTTTTTTTCCCTCCTACTGCTTTTCTTTTTTTTTTTTTATCGCGTTCGATTTTTTTCACATAAATGTATTTTAATAATAATAATAATAATAATAATAATAATAATAATAATAATAATAATAATAATAATAATAATTTTTCGATTTGAATTTTAATCCTTAAGATTAACAACAACAAACGTTTGTCAAATAAATAAAAAAATCGGAAATTTTTTTTTTATTTTTATTTATTATCATTTAACTTCAATATTATTATTATTATTGTTATCATCATCATCAGTATTATTATCATTATTATCATTATCATTATTATTATCAGTATTATTATTATTATTATTATTAATATTTTATAAACGGAATCGAAGTGGAAAACAATACGAAGGAATATATATTAAATTAAAATTAAAATTAAAATAATAATAATAATAATATTATCAAAGATAATTAATTTGAAATGATGACGATGACGATGATGATGATGATGATGATGAAAGGAGGGGTAGGAGGAAATAAAAGAAAAAGAAAGAATCTTTCATTTCACCCGAGCAAATTTTATTCCCTAATTGCGAAAAATTTATTTTAGTAATTAAAATCAGTTAAAAATTAAAAATTAATTAATAAAATTTAAAATTATTATTATTATTATTATCATCGCGTGACGTTTTTACTTTTTATTTAAAAACAAACAACAAACAATCGAAACGTTCGCGAACTTCAAATAATATTTCAAAGGAAAAATTTGAAAAAAAAAAAAAAAAAAATGAACATATTATATAAGTTGTTATAGTTCATAGGTTAAAGAATTCAACGAAACGATTGTTCGTAAACAAAAACAAACGGGAAAACAAACGGAAAAAACAAACAAATGGCAAAAAAGGTAAAAAAAAAAAAAAAAGCAATAAAATCAAATAAAAGAAAAAAAATTTGAAAGGAAATGGTTTAAACATTTTTTTTTTTTGTAAAGTCAGAATAATAATAAAAAATAATGGTAAAAGGAAGATAGTCTAAACGAACGGGGAAGAAGAAAAAAAAAAAAATAATAATAATAGTACGATAGAAAAAGTAAACAAACAAACAAAACAAAAAAAAAATCGTTGCCAACATACGGAAAAGTAATAAAAATTTTTCAAAAAAAAAAAAAAACAAACAAAACAAACACGAGAAAAATAATAGTAATAATAAATAATAATAATAATAATAATAAATAAAAACCAAGGGGGGAGAGGGAAAAAAAAATTATATACATTTTACTTTTCTTTTTTTTTTACAAATGACGTCATTAAAATAATATAATAATAATAATAGAGAAGGATAGAAAAAAAGAAGAAGAAGAAGAAGGAGAAGGGGAGAATGAATATTATCATGACGACAAACAAACGAACAAACAAACAAACGTAATAATGGAAAATTTTTCAAATGATTAATTTATTATGTGTGAATTTGCTACCATTAACATTTCGTTACGTCGACAAAAAAAAAATAAAAAAAAAAATAAACAGACTAGAAGGACGACGTAATGATAATAATGATAATAATAATGATAATAATAATGATAATAATAATGATAATAATAATAATAATAATTTAAATGACGATAACGACGACGACGACTACGACGAAGTAAATGATTCCATTTTTTTTTTTTTTTTTTTTTTCATTTTCCTCCGGTTATTTTTTTTTATTTAGATTTTTAAATTTCGATAAAAATTTTTTAACAAGAAATAATAATAATAATAATAATAATAATAATAATAATAATAATAATAATAATAATAATAATAATAATAATAATAATAATAATAATGATAGTAAGAAATCCGCCGTTCGAAACGTTCGCCAGACATTTTTTTATTATTTTATTTTAAAAATTCAAATCAACCAGATGCAGTAGTTAAAAAAAAAAAAAATGGATTAGAGAACGCACACACACACACAGACACACACTCGACTTTCGATTATTTGTTCGAAACAAAAGAAAAAAACCGTTAAATTTTAAAAAATTTTCTAAATAATCGGAAAATTCATTGACGCGCGCACTCACCCACTCACTCACCCACCCACTTACGCGCTCGTGCAAACAACAACAACAACAACATTAAAAAAAAAAATAAAATTTGAAAAAGTAAACAAACGAAGTCGAACGATTATTATTATTATTTTTTTAAAATATTTTTCCGCCATTTTTGAAAAAATAATAATAATAATAAAATTTTTTACGAAATTTAATAGATTAAAAAAAAAAAAAAGAAAAAAAAATACGTCATAGAGAAAATAAAACGGAAACGATAAAAATGATAGATTGAAGAGAAGAGAGAAAAAGAGAGTTAGAGAGAGAGAGAGAGAAAAAAAAAATTTTCCGAAAATATATGAACTCGAGGAAGATGATGATGATGATGATACATAAACAGAGTGAAAAAAGGTAAAATGAAAAAAAAAATGAATGATGTGAGACGTTCAAAATGAAAAAATTTTTAAAAAAAGAAATCTCATAGCAAATAATTATTATTTAATTCAACTTCCGTTTCCGGTTAACGGGGGGGGGGGGAAACAGAGGAAGAAAAAGAAAAGAAACAAAAATAGTAATAATCACGATTGAGAATGAAACGTTTCGTAAAAAAAAAAAAATTTCACGTGGGTAGTAAAATAATATAAATTTTATTGTTGTTTCTTTCTCTATGACTTTATTATAAAATATACTAATAATAATAATAATAATATTCTACTAATTAAATTATTATTATTACGTTAAATTCGAGTTGTTCTTGTTTTTCTTGTTATTTCCATTGTTTAAAATTTTCCAAAAATAATTTAATTAGTTATAGTTTTTTTTTTTTTCATATTCGAATAATTTTTTCGTGTCGTTTCCTTCGTTCGTTTCGTCATTCATTCATTCATTCAATCATTCAATCATTCATTCATTCATTTCGAAGAGAAAGAAAGCCTAAAGAAAAATTTTATTTAACAAGAAAATTTTAAAAAATTATATGCTGCGGGTACTTTTTTAAACTTTTTTTTAAATTCCGATTCTTTTGCCACGATAAAAATTTCTTCCGCACCCTCAAACCCCATTCACTCCTTACCTTCCCCATCACCACCGCTCACCCCCACCGCGGCATTTCAAACCGACGTTTTCGAATTTTAAAAAACTTTTACGTTTTAATTTCTTTCCGCCGTTTTTTTTTTTTTTTTTTTTTTATGGGCACGTGTTTTCTTTTTTATGCGTTTTTCTTTTTTTTTTATTTATTAATTTAAAAAAAAAAAAAAAAAGTTTTTCCCCCCTCTTTTTTTTTTTTTTTTTATTGCCAACACTAAAAACTAAAACCGTGAAAAACTTTTATATAATTTTTTTTTTTTTTCACGTTAAAAATTTTTCCTTTTTTTTTAAAAAAAAAAAAAAAAAAAAAATTAAAATTGATTAGATTGTGAAAAAAGACCAAACGATCCGACCAATCGGAAAAGAGCATTTACGAAAAAAAAAGAAAATTCGCTTTTATTATGCTTACCTTGCGGGGGGGGGGAGAGAAAAAAAAAAGAAAAAAGAAAATTTTTTTTTTTTTAAACCTGGTTACGCTATTGCAAAATTCAATGAAAATTTTTAATCAATCAGTCAATCAATCAATCAATCAATCAATCAATCAATCAATCAATCAATCAATTAATTAAAGACAAATTAAATAAAACGTTAACAAATTTATCGTCTGTTAAAAAAAAATTAAACAATAATTAACGACGATGAATTGAAGACGATATCGAGTTCAATTTTTTTTTATAAATAAAATTTAAAGTGGTGCCAACGTTAAAAAAAAAAAATAAAAAAATTTATATATGTATAAAGTCAAATAAAAAAAAAAATGAACTCACTTGTAAAATCCCCGTGAGAATCCACATGAAATCCGCCATGACGTAGGTAAACATAAGATTTGTGTGAATCGTATTACGAAGACATCTTAAATCTCTGTAAATAATAATAATGATAATAATAATGATAATGATAATGATAATGATAATAATAATAATAATAATAAAAATCAACAAACAATTTTTTTTTAAATTTAAATAAATAAAAAAAACTTATAAACAAAAACAAAATAAATATATATATTCAATATTAAAAAAAAGAATCTACATATATAACTCGAGTTCTGCTTCGAATAATAATAATAATAATAATAATAATAATAATAATAATAATAATAATAATAATAATAATAAAATTTGTTTAGGTTCAATATAACCGTTAATATTATTTTTTTTGTCTTTTTGTCGAAAAAAAATGAGAAAGAGGAGGGGGCGGGAAAAATGAATTTCGTAGCATTTTTTATATAAAAAATAATAATAATAAAAATAGAAATACAGCAAAAATAATATGCATTGGTAAAACAATGTTACCAACTTTTTTTTTCTTTTTTTATGCGAAAATATTTTTGTTACTTAAAACAAAATAAACGTTTCTGCTGTTCGGGTAAAAATGAAGCGGAAAAAAAAATATGAAAAATATTTTCAGGTAAGAAAAAATTTAAAAAAAAAAAAAAATGAAAGAAAAATGTTTTAAACGGGGTTATTGAAAACATTTTTTTTTTTTTTGTGTTCAAACAAAAAAAAAATTTTCTACTTCTCCTCCTCTCCTTCCCACCCACCCATTGATTTCCTCTTTTCCTCTTTCTCTCTCTCATTCTTCCATTTCATCTATTTTTTATTTTTAATCCATCTAATAATTTAAAAAAAAAAAAAAAAAAATTCGATACGTAAAGAATAATATTAATAATAATAATAATAATAATAATAATAATAATAATAATAATAATAACAACGATAAATTCTCTTGAGAAAACCTTTTACGGGCTAAACGGACTAAAGTTAAAAGAAAAAAATGGTTTTTCGTAGGTTCGATCGATTTTTCTTTTTTTTTTTTTTCTCGTGGTTGTTGTTGTTGTTGTTTTTACAGGTTTTATCTTATTTTATCTTAGAATTTTGAGAAAAAAAAAATCTCCTTTTAAAATCCCAAACAAAAAAATAATAATAATAAAGTAACAAAAAATTTATTTTTACAACATAAAGAAGCCAAAAAAAAATTTTTTTTTTTTTTATCTCCATTTATTATAAGTTTGATTCACATCACGTTAAAAATAAGAAATAAAATTTAAATTTTTTATTTTCCCGCCAAAAAAAAAAATACAAATCATGGATGGCATTATTTCATTTTGTACTCTGATAATTTTTTTTTTTTTTTTTTAATTTTAAAAAATCGAATGATGATTACATCACGATAACAAGTTTTCTCGATAATTTATTTTTTTTTTTAAATTTTACGATTGGTCGTTAAATTTTTATCATTTATCCAATCGCGTGTCGTCATTTTAAATTAACGTCGTTTCATTGGTTAGGTAAATCAATTACGTCATCGAAACGAACGTTACGTTTAATAATGTTAGGAACGTTTTTGTTTTTTTTTTTTTTTGTGCGTTTTTGCGTTCATTTTTGGAAATAATCACGGCTGCAAACTTTTTAAAATTAAAACTTTAACGTGTTTAAATAAATAAATAAATATTTTATTTGTTTGTGTATGCGTGAAACTATTTCGAAATTTTATTCAATTCACGATTAAATAAATAAATCTTATTCATATTTTTTTAAAATGGAGAAGGAGAAGGCGTGAAGAATGTTAAAAATTAAAATAAATAATTTACGATAAAAAAAATAAATAAATAAAAAAGAAAAAGAAAACGGAAAAACTTTTCGCGATTTGAAAATTTAAATTTTCCTCAGTGAAAACCACAAATCAAAAAAAATAAAATAAAATTTTTTTTACATATAAAAAAGTCGTAAACGAAAAGAAAAAGAAAAAATGGCCGTCAATAGAAAAAAAAATAAAACTTATCTCGCTAAAAGAGAAAGAGGGGGAGAAAAGGAGAGAGAGAGAAACGAAAGATTTTAGATTAAAAAATAAAATGAAAAAAGGCAAATTTTTTTTTTTTCCAATACTCTTTATAATAATAATAATTTTAATAATTATTATTATTATTCTACACCACGCGTGAATAATGATTCCATAGAGTACAATATATATATTTTGGTTAGGGCCCCCGAAGTAATTAAAAAAAAAAAAAAAAAGAATAGGAAACGAAAACCTTAGGCGATAATTTGTTATTATTATTATTATTATTATTATTACAGATGCGCCATTTTTTTTAACGAAAAAAAAAAAATTCCGCCATTTTTATTATTATTAAAATTTTTCAATTTTTTTTTTTCGGTACGCTTTTGTAATTGACAGTTAAACGTTGTGCGTGTGTGCGTGTGCGTGTGCACGCGTGTTTTTTAGCTTATTTAATATTAAAAATTACAAAAAAAAAAAAAAAAAGGAAACCAATAACGAAAAAAAAATTGTTTTTTTTTTTTTTAAACATTTTTCATAAAACAAAAAAAAATAAAAAATATGGCCGACAAAAAATGAGATTTGAATTTCTAATGTGATATTTTTCGCTTTTCCATCAATCAATCTTTTTTTAATAATTCACTCATCATTCGCTAATTCGCTCGCTCATTCATTCATTCATTCATTCATTGGTGCAAGTACAAGCGGGAAATTTTTTTTTTTTATTCGTAAAATTTTCATACATTTTTTTTTGTTTCCCCCCCTCGCGTTATACTAATAATAATGAAATTATTTTTTTTTTGTTTTAATTGGAAAACTTTTAACTGTAAAAAAAAATTTTTTAACAAAATTTTTCTTTACAAAAACCGGAAAATTTGACAGAAAAAAAAAAGAAAAAAAAAATGCAAAAAAAATCTTTTGTTTTCGCGAAAAATATTTTAACCTTTGAAAAAAAAAAGAAAGAAATCTCAGACAAATATTTTATAAAAACAATAGTGCCATTATATGAAAAAAAAAAAATTCACACATTCGAATTATTATTATTATTATATACGAAACAAACCGAAAAAAAAAAACGTTTTTCACTTCGCCAAAAAAAGAGTCTGAAATTTAAAAACAATGTTTTTAATGTTGGCAACCTTGCAAAATCTATCAAACACTATTCATAAACACATATATACGAATGTTTTTTTTTTATACAAACATTTTTCCTCGTAAAAATAATAATAATAATAATAATAAATTTCAAAGGATTGAATCGAATAGAAAAAAGAAAAAAAACGGAAACGCCATTAAAAATACCTATGAAAAAAAAGAAAAAAGAAAAAATTTTTATGGGAGCCATTAGAAAAAGTAAAGATTAAATAATAATAATAATAGGGGTAATAATAATAATAATAAAACCATTTGTTGACCCTGATAACGTTGTCGTAGTAACAACAAAACGTTGAAAAGTTTTTTTTCACACCTAAAATTTTCATCATCATCATCGTCGTCGTTGCATTCGAATAGAAAAATAAAAACAAACATCTTCGGATGTTAAGAAATTTAATGAACGGAAATGACGTCATGTGAACCGTACGTCGCGACACGTGTACGACATAAATAAATAAATAAAAAAAAAAAAACCAAAAACATAAAATTCGAATGTAAAAAAAATATGAAATCGAAATCAATACGTGGGAAAATTTTTTTTTTTTTTTAACGGAAAAACGACGACGATTGTTTGTTTTATTTAACTTTAAAATATGACTTCCGCTCGATTTGAAAATCTTGGGAGAAAAAAAAAAATGTCGAAGAGAAAAAAAAACATGATGAGAAAAAAAAAAAAGGAAAAATTAAATTAAATTAAATGAAAACTTTTTTTTTTTTTTCGTTTCTTTTATTTCTCGACGACATTTTTGAAAATCCTCGAGAATTTTCTTCTTTCTTTGTAAAATTTTATAAACGTACGTAGAATATTGAAAATTTTAAAATTTTATTATTATTATTATTATTTTAAATAAAATGAAAAACAAAATGAAAATAAACCGTGCGAAAAAATAAAAAAATAAAATTTTAAATTTTAATCATTTTTTTATATTAAAAAAAAAAAGAAAAAACAAAGAAAAAACGGAGAAAATCATAGAGTAAACAAAAACACGTTATCAACAAAGGTTAAAATTAATTTTAAATATAAAAAAAAAAAAAATTTAAGTTGGCTTCCCTAAATCTGTACGTAATAGAAATCGTTCTTGAACGACCAATCAAAAAAAAAAAAAAAAAATTCCCAAAATAAAAAAACCTTAACCATCATTTAAAAAACAATTAACGGTAAATTCATTTAATAATGAGTGCGGCGAAGTAAAAAAAAACAAACAAAAGTTAATAAGACGATCGACGTGTTTTACATATATATTTTTTTTTT